CAGACAGTGTGATATCTTTCTCCTCCGCGTGGCTCCTTAAAGCTGCACTTGACTCAGCAGTTACATGGTTCCCTGTGGAGCAGCACTGAGAGCGCTGAACACAGTCATGGAGCAGTAAGGGGACGACAGATGGCCTGGCAGAAGCAGAGGTTCTTGGAACCAGTAAGTGCTTGAAGTGAGTTGTAGAGAATGACTTCACAGTGAATCTTTTGAAGCAGTCAAGGAGGAATGTTTTAAAGAGTAGGAGCACAGAGGGGTGAGGAGGAAGAGGCTACTTTTTATTTACTTTACATGACATGTTTATGTTCAGAGACTTACAAGTTTTTACATTCAGTTTTGAAACATGTCATTTTGTACATTATACACTGTTTTTGCTGTTTTACAGGATGACCTGACACCACTATTAGTTGCCATGAGGGAAAACAGACAGCGAATGGCAGAATTTTTAAATGAAAAACAGGCAAATATACATGCAATTGAGAAGATGAAAAGTTACAGTAGTTTGTTCTCTTTTAAAAAAAACCTTTGATGTTGTTCTTGAGTAGTATCAGTCAGGAAAATTAAGTTAATAAAAGGATTAACTTAGAATCCATACGTCATCGGTTAGGTAGAAAAGCAATTCTGCTGGGTGTCACAAAGAACAGAATAGAGCAGGATTCATCTTCCTTTAGAATATTGACTGATGTCATTTGCAGCCTGTTTCTTTTGATCATATGATCTTCTCAGAGGTCAGGGAGATCACTTTCATTTTATTAGTATGAATTCCACTTTTAATTGACCTTATGATAGAACATTGAGTTTCTGAATTCTTTTATAATGATTTTTAAATGTCTACTGTGTATAAGTTTTTTCTTAAAACATGAAGGTTAAACATAGAGGAATTTGTTTTGTGTTTTGGATGACTATTAGCTTGAAATGACTTTCTTTGAAGAATACTGATATTTTTATGTTATCACGCATGAGTATTCAACACCATTACCGGATCCTATGGACTCATCCGTTTTTATCCTTTTTCAATTCTTGTACCTTTTGATGTTTTTATTTTTAATTGATAATGGTAGAAAGAGGAAAGATAGCTTTAGTGAATGAATGAACATTTCCTTTAAAGCTGACAAGCCAGTGGTAGATAATAAAGAGGAAAGAGTTGAGCTTTAGATCCAGACCAGGTTTAAGTCCTAGCTTTCCTGTTTGTCAGGTGTGTTCCCTGGGGAACATTACTTCTTATCGACAAATAGGTTTCCTGATACGTAAAGGAGGAGAGGAGTATATCCTTTAAGGGGGGTTGTGTGTAAGAAATACATACGGTATTTAATTCAGTGCCGAGCACATGCTTCTCAGCATGATTCACTGCAACCGTGACTATTTTTATGGCCATCATCATTCATATTATTGTTTTAAGCCTGCAAACAGCTTTTCTTTTCCTGACCTCTAGCTGATATTAAAGTATAAGATTTCAGACTCAGTAAGAAGTGGGGAAATCTTTATTTAAATCTTTACCTACTTGAAATAAGTGACCTCAGCATCATTTCTTGTCCATCAGAGGACTTTAAATCTGCAACTTCGTCTCTGTGTTACCCCAGTAGGACAGGGGGATGCTTTTTTGTGGCTTGCTTTTGGCCTTGAGGTAATTTGCTGAGATGAACACGAGCATGTATATGATCAGTCTTACAGAGATGGTCAAGATATAAACTTGGTAAAATATATCAAATTAGCTGTTTAAACAAGTTAAGTAAATTCCTCAGGGGAGGGGGTGAGTTTTCTTCTCTGATTTTAGAACAACCCTCATGCTTCTGTAAGTGATGAATCACCAAATATGATCAGGCTTCTTCTTCAACAAGGCATTGATGTCTTTTCTCAAGATATCTAGGCATGGAGTGTAGAAGGATATACTCTTATTGGTGGTTTTAATATGTAAGTGTTTGCATTAAAACGGCTATGATCACTAAACTGAGGGTGAAACTAACTGTTGCTTTCACAGGACAGGTGAGAGTTCCGAGTTGGGTGCAGGCAATTGGGGGATGGCAGTGAGCTGTGCCACATCATGAGCTGGAAATCATGCCGAAGGCCAGACTAACGAGATGCAGCAGTGGCCCAGGATTCTTTATCTCAGGGTCTATGAGCCCTTTATCCGTCAGCATCCTTGTGTTCTTTATTTCATTCCAAGTGTATCCCTTATGCATGGGGTACAGTGTCATAACTGATTTTTCTAAGTAGCTATTTGGGTGTTAAAATGTTTAGTTGAGTAGAAAATCCTGTCTTTTGCCTTGAGGACTTTCTTCTGTACTCTTCCTCTGGAATCTTCCGAGAAGCGAAAGGATTCCCCGAGACCAAAGTGACAACTGTCTTCCACAAGTCACTGGGGTTGGGGTGGGGAGGAGGGCTTTCTAACCATTCTGTTGTTTCCCTCAATTCTGTTGCTGCAGCATCGGTATTAAAACTGGTCTTAACAGGGTCTCGTTGGCAGCTGGGTCTGCGCTCTGCATGTTGCTCTCTAAAGACCTTTAATAAAATCACTTTAAAAGAAGAAAACAGAAAGTGGCCCTGCGGTTGGTCCTGTTTGACCTCTCCCAGGATGCCCTTGCGGACCCACATTTCTCAGCCTTCCTGGTGACCCACACTTAGACTGCAGAGCGACAGCTTGCTTAGTTCTCATGCATTGCTTGTGTGATGTCCTATATTTATAAATTTAGCTACAAAGTATGTAATAGCTGAGGTGCCCTGAATTATAAACCCTGAAAAAAGGACGGCTCATCACCATAACTTGGAACATTTTCTGAAAACTGCAACCTTTGAATGTTCCACCTATGAAAAAAGCACACATTGGTTTTATTCGGGATGCTAAAATAGTTCTGGCATTAAAGTTCAAGTAGGATTTATTCCATTTCTTCACCATTTCTCAGAGCATTTTGGGGGTATATTATGTCATGAAATCCCCTGAATACTGTTGGAAATTAAGGCAGTAAGGCCCCAGTTTTATAGAGTGAGACTTTGAGCTGATTAGAAACACCTTTTCCAGGAACAAATAGCTGTTGGTTTCAGAACTCGGACTTCTGAGTTCAAGATCCTTTCCATATGTCAGGCTAAATCTAGTTCACTTAGTGAGCTATCCTGCCCTCAATTCATGACTACTTCACCTTACTTTTTTTCTCCTTCAATTACATGCTAAAGGAAAAGTTTATAGAACTTACAAATTTGAGGTATACAGGACCATTGAAGTTTT